GACCCTACAGCCCTCCGGACTCAATATTGAGTTCAATAATTTTAGGGTCTAAACTCTCCCATGTCCCAGCCCCCTACCCCACACACCAGGCTTTGTTACCACATAGCCTGCCATTACATACCCCCTGTTGTTAGTCACTAACAGTCCCCATTAACAACGGTTCACCGTCCCAGCCTGATCGTTAGCAACTCCTTTGTCCAACTGTCTTTCTCTCTCTTCGGGCTCTATCCTATCCTTTACTCCCTACTCCACCCACCTCCCTATTTTCTGCATATAAACTGACGTTTTCCCAGCACTATCAGTTCTGAGGAAGGGTCACCGGACCCGAAACGTTAACTCTGTTTTCTCCTCCGCAGATGCTGCTAGACCTGCTGAGCTTTTCCAGCAACTCTGTTTTTGTTCCTGATTTACAGCATCCGCAGTTCTTTTGGCTTTTATTTTGCTGGTTATATTAATAGACTGGGAGTACACTTGGAAAAACTTGTCAAACCTGTTGAATTGCTCTAAGGCTCAGCTGCATGCAAAACATGAGAAACTTGTTTAAAAAATAATGAACTGTCGATACTGGAAGTCTGAAATGAAAGCAGAAAATGCTGGAGAAACTCAACAGGTCCAGCAGCATCCATGAACAGACAAAGAGTTGATGCTTCAAGTTGTGACGGGCCCAGTTCTGACGAAGGGTCACTGGATTCGGAACGTTAGTTATGACTTTTTCTCTGCAGATGCTGCCAGACCAGCTGAGTTTGACTAGAAGTTGAAATTGAGTGTGCAAAATGAGGGATTTGGCATATGATAGATGACTTTACTCTTTTTTTTCTCCATTTGTGGGCAACTGGTCAAAAGCTTACTGTAAATTTTCTTAACAAGAAATTTGTTGGTTAAACTATTAGAATATAGCATAAATTTAGCTCTGGTTAGCTTGTTCTATGAAAAAAAAAGATACTGCAGATGTTTCATATTAGAAATAAAAACCAAGTGCTAAAAAAAAACTCAGCAAGCTGGGCAGCATCTGTGGAGAGAAAAACAGGTTTAATGAGTCAATTTGAATATAACTCTTCTGAGTAAGTCATATTTGAGTCAAATGTTAACTTTGTTTCTCTCTCTTGATCTGTTTTGTGGTGCTGAACTGCATGTTATTTTGAAATATACAAAATAGATAGATTTTATTTCATCTAGGTTAGCCTAGATCAAGATGACAGCTAAGTTACATGGCAAAATTTCCTTCTTGGGTAAAGAGGAGACAAAAAAAACCTCATTTGTGAGAAAAAGTGTTCACTTCAATGTGGCCCCCTTCTTGGAAATCATTACTGTTTCTGCCATATGTGGTGCTAAACAAAAATGCAACACAAACTGCAGCTTAATTTTCAGTTTCAGTAGAATGAAAGAGTGAACGAGGAATTCCTCTTCGTACAAACCTAATAAAGTGCAAAGCAATATAGGAATGTAGAGACCTGAATGTGACCATTGTGATTTGGTTGGCGTGTATCAAAATTCAGAAAAACACTGTATCAACAGTAGTTTGTTTTAAAGCCATTCTTTTTGTCAAAATTTTTTCTTTATTTTCCGACAGTTTACATTATTTTTGAGGGTAATTGCTCAAGAAAGAAAACGTCATGATTACGATCGCAATCCAATATTTGATTTTGTCATTGTAATGCGGCATGAGTGAATGCGTTAGAAAAGAATAAAAGTCAAGTTTAGATTCCATACCACATTAGTAAGCTCTCCATTTGTGTTCCAAATCATATCTAGTAGAGCATTTTGATATGCATAAGATGACTACAACTTTTTGGGTGCACAATTGGCTATATGTTTTCCATTCTAATATTTCAACAGATATCTCCTCATTTATAGTTTTTGTTTTCACATTTTATGATCCATCTCCTATCATTGACTTTTACAAAAAAACTATAGGGGATATTTGCACACATAAGTACTATATACAAATGCACATTGTTGGCTGTAGTTACGGCAAATTGTTGAAATGAGATATTAGATAATTTTACACCATGTACCTTTGTTTGAGGAATCTTTTGAGTGACAGCTACGTCTGAGTCCAACTGATTTTCTGCCTCTTCTTCACTTCTCACTTGTTTAACTTGCTGTAATGCCTGAACAGTTTCTTTCAAGTTTTCCTTCTCTCTTTGCAACTTTAAAACTTCATGTTTTTCTTTTTCCAGCTGGTCCATGAGTTCTTTTGCTTGCAGCTGCAAGGAATCTACTTTTTCCAGGATCTGTTTATGCGATTCTTGCTCCTTTAACAGGGACTTCCTATGAATCTGTTGCTGCTCCTCAAGGTGTTGCCTTAATTGAACTGACTCAAGTTTATACCTTTCCATCTCACTCACCAATTCTACTATACGATTATGCTGATCTTCTAGTTGTCTTTGCAGCTCCCCTATTAGCATTTCAGATGTCATCTCAGCTGTCTTCACCATTCCTTCCTGCTTCTCCTTTGCATGTGGAAGCAGCTTTGAGATCTCCCGTTCTCGTTCTAGTGCCCTGTTTAATTCGTAAGTTCTAACTTTTTCAGCATCTAAGGCAATTTGGAGCTCATTGATGCGGTTCTTCTCATGGGATAATTCAGTTTCATGCAGGGCTTTCTCAGAATCAAGACTCTGTCTCAGGTCATTTATTGTCACCCTTTCATTTTCCAAAGTACATTCCAAGTGCAAATATCTTTTCTTTTGATCCTCAAGTGCAAATTTCAGGTCCTGAAATTAGACAAGAGCATGTTTTTTCTAATATTACTGGTAAAATTTGCGTTAAATGTGTTTAGTTTTATAATCACTGGAATATTTGTGACTACTTTACCATACATATCTTTCACAGAAACATGGAAAATAGGAGTAGGCCATTCAGCCCAATGAATTTGTTTGCCATTCAACATGACCATTGCTGATCATCTTTATCAATTCTCATTCTCTCCCCATACCCCTTGATATCTGTAGTGTCTCAAAAACTATTTCTTTCTTAAATATAGTCAGTGCCTTGCTGTCCACAGCCATTTGTGTTAGAGAATTCCATGGGTTCACCACCTTCTGAGTGAAGACATTCCTCCATATCTCAGCATTATCCTGAGACTATAACCCCTTTCTCAAGACCACCTAGAAACAGGAAATATTATCACTACACCTAGTTTGTCCAGCCTTGTCAGAATTTTATAAAAGGGTGGCACAGTGGCTCAGAGGTTAGCAATACTGCCTCACAGTGCCAGGGACTCAGGTTTGATTCCAGCTTTGGGCGATTGTCTGGGGTAGTGTGCACATTTTCCCTGTATCTGCGTGGATTTTCTCTGGATGCTCCTGTTTCCTCCCACAGTCCAAAGATGTGCAGGTTAGGTAGACTGGCCATGCTAAATTTCCCATAGTATTGAGGGATGTGCAGGCTAGGTGAATTAGCATGAGAACTGCAGGGTTACAGGGATAGGACAGGGGAGGTGGATCTGGGCGGGATGCTCTTTGGAGGGTTAGTGAAAACTCGATGGGCCAAATGGCCTGCTCCCACACTGTACGGATTCCATGATTCTTTAAATGAGATCCTCTCTTTCTCCCAAAATCCAGTGAAAACATAGACCCCTGTTAACCGAATCACTCCTTATACAAAAACCTGCCATCCCAGGAATCAGTTTGATGAATGTTTGCTGCATTCCCTCCACAGCAAGAATATCTTTTCTTAGGTAAGGAGACAAATCTGATTACAATACTCCAGATGTCATTTCATCAAGGACCTCTATAGCTACAGTAAGATACACTTACTCCTATGATCAAATTCTCATGCAACTAAAACTGTTTACCATTTGCCATCCTAACTGCTTTGCTGCACACTTGCTTTCAGTGACTAGTGTACAATGACATCTAGGTCTCTTTTGTATTATCAACATTTCCCAACCTATCACCATTTAAACAATAAACTTTAATCTGCCAAGTACATAACTTCACACTTATTCATGTTATATGCATCAGTCATGCATTGCCCACTCACACAACTTGTCTAAATTGCCTTGAAGCCTCCATACATCCTCTTCACCACCCACAATCCCACCTAATTTTGTGCTGTCAGCAAAGTTGGAAAAGTTACATTTGATTCTTGTATCCCAATCATTGTGAAAAATTTGCGAATAGCTATACTCCAGCACTGATCCCTATTGTATCCACTAGTCACTCCTTCCACTCTGGAAAAAAGGGTCGTTCCTACTCTGATACTGTCTGCTAAATGATTTTGAATCTATGCCAGTTTATCACCAAAATCCCATGTGCTTTAATTTTGCACACTAACCTTTATGTGGGACTTTTTCAAAAGCTTTCTGAAAATCCAAACACACCACCATTCACTAGTTTTCCCCTTAACTATTCCATTAGTTACCTTGTCAAAGCTCCAGTAAGTTTCTCAAATATAATTCATTTTAATAAGAGTTTAAGACTTTGAAGTAGAATAAAGCCATTTGGCCCATCAAGTCTGATCTGCATTCAACTAGATCATTGCTGATCTGATAATCCTCATCTTCATTTTTCTGCCTTATCCATATAAACTTTGATTCCTTCACTGATTAAAAATGTATTTCAGCACTGAATATATCTAATGACACAGTTTCAACACCACTCTGCAGTAAAGGATGCCACAGATTCACTACCCTCAGAATAACTTGCCTCTTTATCTGTGTCTCAAATAGGGAATCTCCGAGATTATGCCCTCTGGTCCTACACTTTCCCACAAGGGGAATAACCTCTCCACATCGTTACTGTGAAGCCATCCAAGAATCTTATATATTTCAATTAGGTCTCCTCTCATTCTTCTAATGTCCAATGAGTATATGCCCATCCTACACAACCTCTCCCCATAAGAAAATCCCTCCATACCCAGAATTAGAGAATCTTCTCTGAACAGCTTCCAATGTAGTATATGTTTCCTTAGATAAGGGGACCAAAAACTGCTCACAGTATTCCAGCTATGGTCTGACTACTGCTTAATAGCTTTAGCAAGACCTCCCTATTTTTATACTTCATTCCCTTTGAAATTAAAGGTCAGTCGTCCATTTGCCTTTCCTATCATCTGTTGTACTTGGATGCTAGCTTTTTGTGATTCATGCATGAAGATCCAAAATCTCTCTGCACGCAGCTTTCTACAGTATTTCCCCATTTAAATAATATTCAACTCTTTTATTCTTCCTGTTAAACCTCATATTTTCAAACATCATATTTCATATGCCAAATTTTACCCAATCACAACCTATTTATATCCTTCTGTAGACTCTCATCTGCAAACTTCCCTCATTTAAGTCATTGATATATACTGTAAATAACTGTGGCCCCAGCAATGATCCCTGTAACACTCCACCAGTAACAGGGTGACATCCTGAAAATGCTCCCTTTTTCCAAATTCTGTCTGCTATTAGTTAGCCAATTATCTAGCCATGCTGAGATACTATCCCCAACACCACAGGCTCTTATTTTAGTAAGTTATCTTACTTGCAGTATTTTATCAAACACCTTTCAGAAATCCAGTTACATTTACTAGTTCAGTGTTATCTATACTGTTTATTATTTGCTTTCATAAATTTATACTGACTTTGTCCAAAGGCGGCACGGTGACTCAGTGGTTAGCACTGCTGCCTCACAGCACCAGAGACCCAGGTTCGATTCTACCCTCGGGAAACTGGTGTGGAGTTGGCACATTTTCCCCGTGTCTGTGTGGGTTTACGCCGAGTGCTCCAGTTTCCTCCCGTAGTCCAAAGATGTGCAGGTTAGGTGGATTGGCAGTGCTATACTGCCCTTAGTGTTCAGGGATATGTAGGTTAGGTGGATTAGCCACTGGGAATGTGGGGTTACAGGTATAAGATAAGGAATGGGTATGGGTGGGATGTTCTTTGAATGGTCAGAGTAACTAGATGGGCAGAATGGCCTGCTTCCACACTGTAGGGATTCTATGAAATCCCATTAATATTTTCTAAGTGCTCTGTTATCGCATCCTTTATAACAGACTGCAAAATTTTCTTTACCATTGATGTCAACCTAACCAGTTGGCAATTCCTTGTTTTTTCCCTTGCTCCTTTTTAAAGAGTGGGGTTACATTTGCTACACTGCAATCTGTAAGGACTATTTCAGAATTTACAGAATTTTGGAAGATGACAACCAACACATTCACTATTTCCATGACACCTCTTTTAGTACCCTGTGATGTATTATCAGGCCTTGGAGCTTGATTTGCTTTCAGTCCCATTAATTTCTCGAGTTTTTTTTATATAAAAAACTGATACAAATTTCCTCTCATTCCTCCTTCTCATTACAGCCTTGGCTCCATAGCATTTCTGGGAAATTATCTGTGTCTTCTCCCATGAAGACAGAAATAAGCATTGTTTAATTGCCCTGCCACTTCCTTGTTCTCCATATCAATTCCCCTGTTGCAGGTTGCAAGGAGTTTACATTTGTTTCCAATAAACTTTCTCTTTTTACATAATGTATAAAAGTTTTTACGGTCTACTTTTATGTTCCTTGCTGGTTTATTCTCTTACTATATCTTTCTCTTCTCAATCAATCAATCAACCAATTCTCTTTTGTTCAATTTCAAAGTACTTCTAATCTTCAGACTTGCTAATTTTTCTGGCAACTTTATACGATTCCTCTTTGGATCTAATATGATCCTTAATCTGTAACTGTTGTAAGGCTTGCATTCATTCCTTTAATAGTAACCATTGCTTATCTACTATCATGCCTTTTTGTGAGGTTATCCAATCAATTGTAGCCAATTTACCCATGATAACTTTGTGCTTGTATTTATTTAGATTTAGGACCCTAGTATTAGATTGACTTACTTCACTTCCCATCCCAGTGAAGAATTCTTTCAAGTTATGGTTACTGTTTCTCTAAAGGACCCTAAAGGTTATTCATTAGACCCTCCTTATTGCATTGTACTAAAATCAGGATAGCCTGTTCCCAAGTTGGTTCCTTAACATACTGGTCTAAAACACCATCTTGTACACAATCCAGGCATTTATCCATCACAGTATTGTTACCAATGTGGTTTGCCCAGCCTATATGTAGATGCAAATCACCCAGAGTTAATTTTGCTCTATTGTTATCTGCATCTTTAATTACCCGTTTGATGCCGTCCCCACTTTATTAATACTGATTGGAGGCTTATAAACAACTCTCACTTTTTCCGGTCTGGCAGCATCTGTGGAGAAAAAATCAGAGTTAACATTTCGGGTCCGGTGACCCTTCCTCAGCCCCTTTCGGGTCACCAGACCCGAAAAGTTAACTCTCA